CTGCAGTAAACACTTGCTGATGATCAGTTAATTAAGTGCATTTGATTAGTGTTTGGCTGCTTACCTTAGAAATTCCTGTGGACACAATGAGGTTGGACTTAAACTTGTTATGTGACTGTAAATCCAAACAGTGGCTCGATTATTTACAGGAGCTTTATGAGGGAGGAATAAATCAGCAGCAGTTATATCCTGCAGTTCACATACATTAAGCTCTGTCACTGTAAGACTAAATGAGGATTTTGTGCGAAGAAAGAATAAAAAAATAAACATGTAACTTTTATTACCCTGGAAAATCTTGTCTGTCAATATTATCTGACATAACCAGACAACAGACTTACCTTCATGACACTAAAACAAATCTGGCATTAAGCTCAGCTCACTGTGGCAGTCTCTCTTCACAACAGCCGCTTTAACTTGTGGCGTCAGCCCCAAACAATCACTGTAAGTTGTAATTTTGCTGCCAAACAATCCTAAACAGCTGCCGCTGGTCATGTCATTACCCCAAAAAAGGCACATCAGATTGGGCAGGTAGTAACATCGGAGGATGTCTGCAGGGTTGATGCTACGATTTGAGCTAATTGTCTCTCCTTCTACAGCCACGAGCTGTAATCTGGATACAAGATGCAGAGCTGCCCGTGCTCGCTCTTAGACATAGGGCGAGGAGCTCAGTTATTCAGTGGGGGTTCAGTGCTCCTACTGGTTCAAGCATCTGAAAAGGACGTCCCTCGGCTGGGTTGTGAACATCACGGTGTCCCACTCAGAGGAGCTGGAGCATGTAGCGTCTCTGCTTAAGCAACTGAAATTGTATAGATACATTTTTAGTCTATAAATGTCATACTTTTACTTTTTTAATGTTTTTTTTATTAATTCCTGTTAACAATAACCTTAGAGAAAGGCCAAAGATAACAATGTATTATTGGTTCTTTCAACACTTCCTGACAGCATGACTTTCTGTGGTGGCTCATTGGTTCCAACCGAATACATGAAATGTTAAAACACTAAAAATCTAACCTTCAAACTTCCTCTGTGTTGCTTCACTCAGAGAAACAGGAAACGCTGCACTTGTTGTCGATTTTCTTTAGCAACAGATTAATCCACACTTCTGCGGGATGGTGTGTGTAAGCATGTTGTTATGATGATGAACAGACAGGTCATCCAGCTCAATAGTTCTGCTTTCTGATGTGATTTTAGCACAAATATGGCACATCTGCCGTTTTCTTTGAGCGACATGTGTCTCTCAGCGTCTGCCTCAGCTCAGCCACAGGCGCCCCGTGAATTTACCAGATGCCTTTTGTGCAGTAACATTTGGGCCACTTCTCTACCACAGAACATCGGTCATGCTGTAATTGAGCAATACATGCCAAAAGCAGCCCACATTAGGCCCAGATGTGCCTTGGTACACACACAAGATAGAGAAGCAACATCTTGTGGTTGAAACCGGTTAGTCTGAAGCAGGTGAGATTTCTATCTGCTATGTGCTCTGGCTTGGATAGTAATAGTGTTCATGTTGTGAGAACGTAGCTTGTGGTGAAGTGTGTCATTTAGCATTGTAGAAGCAGCAGCTTGGTGGATGTCACCTTTCTTTTTCACACAAAACATCTCACAGGTCTATCCAGTCATTCATTGGCTCAGAGCAGAGAGGTGTTAAGAGCTGTGAGGTGCTGCTGCAGTGTATGAAGTACACGTACTTTCTACATGATGCAACATTACAAATACAATTTTGACATATTTTTCGTGACCTAACAGTTATTCCCAGTAATCATATCAAAAGCAGTTCTGGAATCAGTTTTGGAAAAAACTAAGCAGGT